TGGGGGGTGGGGGGGGGTGGGGGGGGGGGGGGGGTGGGGTAAGTGGTTTAAGGTGGTTTAGTCAGGTTGGTATGGGTTAAGTTGTTGGGTGGGTGGGTTAATTTGCATGAATTAATACGGGTGGGTTAGGTGGGGGTGCAGTTACATAATGAACTATAGAGTAACCAGCTTCATTCGGTTATGTTCCTTCGATATAAAGCCATCTCTTTTATCTCGAACACCTCAACCTCATTCATCGTCTACATGTCTAATGTGAAACAGCTTAGCTTTACTTTCTATCTGTGTCTAATCTGGGTTCCGTCTAATCATCTACATGTCTAATGTGTAACAGCTTAGCTTTACTTTCTATCTGTGTCTAATCTGGGTTCCGTCTAATCATCTACATGTCTAATGTGTAACAGCTTAGCTTTACTTTCTATCTGTGTCTAATCTGGGTTTCGTCTAATCATCTAGAAAGGTGAAAATAGTGATTTAAAAAAAAATAATAAAATTGTTGTTGGTTGCAGAAGGAATTTTAGAGATATTACCGTAACAGAATTATTAGATAAACAACAATCATGACTGGCTATTTGCTGTAACCTTCTATGTTTAAATCGAATATAACACTATTAATAATTTCATGGACTAATATAGATTAAGTTTCTTAATGGATTAAAAAATAAACCGCACATATGTATTTATTTTTAATTGTTTTTAATTCCAAGGGAGAGAAAACGTCTTTGGTTTGTTACAAAAATAATAATCAAGTATTCTCCCTTCAGACTTTCAAAAACTTTCTCTGCTGTTAAACGATACCTATTTATGCACCGTATTTACGTAATACAGTTATGGAGAAAACTGATTCTATTTTAAAATTGATTACTGTCAAGGCCATGTACTCAGAGATGCGGTGTCTATGGTGATGTTGACAGTTCAGTTTAGTGAACGCGTGTGAACTCTTGTCACGTGTCAAGGACGGGGGTGCGTAAATTTTGGGGTTATAAAGGGGGAGAACGCTTGGAGGGACGGAGACAAGAGTGTTTTTTTTTTTGGGGGGGGGGGGTGGGTTTGCTGGGGGGGGTTCTTTCTTTTTTTTTCTTTTTGCCCGGTAAATTTTTTTGCGACTGGATGTCGCTAAGTAGTAATTTTGTGAGTGTATCAAGTGGATGTTTTAGTCGAGTGTAAAAATGAATGATTCAGTTGTTGTGTGATGTAGTGAAACAAACGTACCGAGTAAAATGAACTTATTTAGTGCTAGGAGGAAGTGAGAGGCCATATCCGAGACAAGCTAGTCTGAAATTAGGGTCGGGTGGAATATTTTATTTGACAAAAACTAAACTAATTAAACGTGTACCTGACCGCCATTTAGAATTCATTCTCAACGCAGATTGAAAGTTTAAAAAAAAAACAACCACATTAAAATCCAACCCTTTAAAAAAACAAAGGGTTTGTTATATACAAATCCAGTAAATGCGTTTGTGTTTGCATTCATTCAATTGTACGTGCTTTATGAATGTATGTAGCATCTTAGTATTGGTATGGGAATTGTTGTTAGCAAGATGAGTGCATGTAAAACATCATAGGCTAAAGATAAGATTTTTTTTTTAAAGTTGTCGTGTTTAAAGAATATACGGAAGCGAAGCTGTTTCAGTTTTTGCTCTTCTTTTTTTTTTTTTATAATTCATATTGAGACAAGATGGAAGTTTGCACAGTCGTTCCGTTTCCGCCAATGCCGGTAAATGGCAGATTTTCTAGTTTTGCTCTTGAAAAAACAAGAAGGAAAAAAAAAAAAAAGATTTTTTTTTCGGTGGTGTGGGTGGAGCTAAAAAAAAGTTGATAGAATGTTTAGTCATCGGCATCGAGTCTACGTGCCAAGTTTCATCGCCATGGGACCACGGGAAGTGGGTCATTTAGTGTTCCGAAGATTTTGCCGCAAAGAGACACGCGAACAAAAGTGAAGTTAATATAAGGATTTAATTAATTTTTTTTTTAAGACCGCAGAATATTTAAAGAAAAATTAGATTGAACAGAAAATTTGGCTTAGTTCAAAATTCACATTTAAAAACTTCGGTTCATTGAAGTCCTGTGCGAAATGGCAAATTTTTTTTTTTTTTTTTTTTTAATACTTAATTTCTCAAATATTTTTGTTTTTTCAAATTTTTTTCTATACTCTCGGATACTACAGTTCACATACGTGTTATTTTTGTATGTTTAATTCTGTTTTGACTGTTGTATGTTAAATTCTGTTTTGACTGTTGTATGTTAAATTCTGTTTTGACTGTTGTATGTTAAATTCTGTTTTGACTGTTGTGTGTTAAATTCTGTTTTGAGTGTTGTGTGTGCGCTGAAGAAATCTTCTTACCAACCCGTTCATCATTTTATTGCGTTGTTTTTTCTCTTTCAGATTTTCTCATACTTTGTTTCACTCATTACCCCCTTTTTTTTCTCTTTCAGATTTTCTCATACTTTGTTTCACTCATTACCCCCTTTTTTTTCTCTTTCAGATTTTCTCATACTTTGTTTCACTCATTTCCCCTTTTTTCTAACCTGATTTGCAGTCTTCCCCCTCATTACCAAATAATTAACAAATAATAATCAATGCAATACAAATATAGCAAACAAATAAGTACAAACTATGCACAAACTATTGCAAACATGCACACATTTACACAAACATGCAGGCTAAAGCATAACATTTAATAGACCAGGAAAAGGGTTTTTTAGTTGTAGGCAAAGTTATGATTTTCTACATGGCATTGGTGAGGCGTAGCAGCATTGGTCAGGCGTAGCAGCATTGGTCAGGCGTAGCAGCGACGGGTGTTTGGAGTTAACTATTGTAGGGCGTCATACCAATAATCTCTCACTATTGTAGGTCGTCATACCAATAATCTCTCACTATTGTAGGTCGTCATACCAATAATCTCTCACTATTGTAGGTCGTCATACCAATAATCTCTCACTGTTGTAGGGCGTCATACCAATAATCTCTCACTATTGTAGGTCGTCATACCAATAATCTCTCACTATTGTAGGTCGTCATACCAATAATCTCTCACTATTGTAGGGCGTAATACCAATAATCTCTCACTATTGTAGGGCGTCATGCCAATAATCTCTAACAATCTCCATCATGTCTCCACCACAGGTGTCGCTGAGGGTACCCCATGCGCCAACGACACAGAGTGCGCCGGTCTGGACGTCAACAGCTTCTGTGACAACAAAACGTGCGTGTGCTCAACCGGTTTCATCAAGAGGAAGCAGGCCTGCTCCAGGATTGTCCCCGGCGACCCGTGTCTCAGCGAGGATGCCTGCATGCACATCAACAACAGCGTCTGCCTCAACAGGACCTGCACGTGCCTGCCGCTGTTCGCGGGCAAAAAGTGCAATCGGAAATCCTGCAGCAGCGATAAGGACTGCGAGGCGATTCGTGGCAGCGCCTGTATCGCCATGAAGCGGAAGCAATGCCGCTGCCGGCCAGGCTTTTTCGAGATGGACGGGCATTGCGATGAAGTCGCACTCGGGTCTCCTTGCACGACGGACGCGACGTGCGCCGATCAGATGACCAACGTCAAGTGTGTGAACAGCAGCTGCCGGTGCGCCGACGGCTACGTCAACAGCACGCTGACATCTTGTCGGCCGAGGGTGTTGGGTGACACCTGCGTGCAAAACGAGGACTGCCGGCAGGTGTTCGGAAATGTCATCTGCGCCCCGGGAGCCAAGAGATGTTGGTGCGATTCGGGATTTAAGGCGACCGATCAAAGCACGTGCGCGAAAATTCTCATCGGTGATAACTGCACAAGTGACGTGTATTGCGCTTCAAGCGTAGCGTGGAGTTTTTGCCCGGCGGGAAGGTGCTTGTGTTCCAGAAATTTTTCCGCCAATTCGGACAGAACGGCGTGTTATCCAAAACAGCTCGGCGACTTCTGCGCGGAGTCCTCCGAATGCAAGAATGTGACCAACGCCGAGTGTGGTAGAGGCAGAGTCTGTGTTTGTAAGCCCGGCTACACCGACAAATCAATGTCCTGTGATGAGAATATCATCGGCGATTCCTGCGGCACCGACGAGCACTGCCGGATAGCGAACTCCCTGTGCAAGGACAAGAGATGCGCGTGTGAAAGAGGCTGGGCGCCCGACATTTCAAACTCGTCCTGTAACGAACAGCTGATTACTGATACGGACTGCGTGGCAGACGCTGACTGCCGCGAACTCTACAACAACAGTGTATGCAGCGGGCGCCTTTGTGAATGCGAACGGAAATATTTTCTAAATCCCGTGGACAATGTCTGCGACTTCGTTTACCTCGGGGACGCCTGTAACCGAACTCTAGACTGCACGATATCGGTCGACAACAGTCTTTGCTCCGACCGGGTCTGCGCGTGCTCGCCCGATCACCTGCCGTCGGATGACCAGATGTTCTGCCGGATCAAGACGCTGCAGGGAATGGAATGCGCGCGTGACGACCACTGCACCAGCGTCGTTCCGCGCAGCTTCTGTGACGTCAACAAAAAGTGCTCTTGCCAAAAGGGTTACAAAACCGGTGATGGCTTCGACGCATGCGTGCCTAAGCGCTTGCTGCTGGACGCCTGCGAGGACGACGCAGACTGCTATAGGAGCAACCCCAATTCCTCGTGCTCCCCTGTCACCGGACGCTGTGTTTGCGATCCGGGATTCTCGCTGCGAAATTCGACACGTGGATCTTCGAACACCCAGGCCTCCCATTTGAAAGACACCTCCGCGTGGTCTGTGTGCGAGAAAAGGGTCTTGGGGGTCCACAAGTGTGACGCGCTCGACGATTGTTCACCCGCCGTCAAAAATAGCTACTGCCGGAAGTGCAACGCACGTTCGCCCGGAAGTCCGTGTATCGAAGCCACCTGTCAGTGCGATGATGGGTACTACAGCGTGGAAAGTGAGTTTATTTTTTTTGGAAAATTTACCTTCTTGCTATTTAAATGTAAGAAATTATATTTTTAAAAGCGTGTGTTCCTCTCTATTTTCCCAAAATAAATCGATTAGACGTTAAAAATAGTTATTGGTAACATTAGAGATATTAAAAAATCCATACTAATGTTACTTGGAAATTTAAAAAAAAACAACAACCAAAAACCTATATTGTGTTGTTGGACAAAGAAGTAACAATTCTTTACTCGACTTGTAATAATCGTACGACTGTCGTATTTTAGCGTTGCCAAAATTAAATAGAGGAGCACAACTCGGTCTAGCGAGTAGACACACGTCATCAGAGAGTTGACATAACAGGTTTCACATTGCACGTTTCAACAGATGGCACCAGATGTCAAGGGCGAGTGCTCCGAGAGAGGTGCACGAGAGTTGAGGACTGTTCCGGTCACGTGCCGTACTCAAACTGCACAGAAGGCGTGTGTGATTGTAGATCAGGGTTCAAGCCTGTGAAACGTGACTCTTGTCAGAAAAGTACGTAGACATTTTTTTTTTAAAGTTCATGTTTTAGATAAATTAAATCTCCTTTTTCTTAATTTTGATAGGTATCCCTGACCGTGGGTCAAGTGATCAGTCAGATGAATGTGTGTGGCTAATTTGGTTTACTACATTAAGTTATGCGATTCTAAAATTTGACTTTTAAGCACTTCCTGTGGCTAGTCTTCCTATCATTTCTTAGGAAAATTACATAATTTTTGTGTCATTATGGCAGCAGTTTAGCTACGGTTAGTAACACCTGTGGAGTGCCCAGATTTTGCCATCCTCTTCCTCGGTTAAAAAAAAAAAAAAAAAAAAAAAACTCAGTAGTTGCCGAAAATGCAACCCCTCCATATAATCAAGAACAAAAAGTGGCATTCACCCTCCTCCCCCCCTCCCCCCATTTTTCTCCATAATTCACAGTATTACAGATATGTCCTAAAATTATTATCTTTTAAATGGCTATTCAAAGTACGTAAACTAATAACGTCACATCGGAGATGGCGTCGGTGGGTCATCGAGTGCGAGCTCTTATTTACCCCCTCGGCACAACCCTCGCACGAGCCGACGCCGGGTTACCCCGCAGCCAGACCGTGCGGAAGCACGCTGAGAACCTCCCCCTTGGCCCGAGGGACGTCCGGTCGACTGAAAACGCTGCGTTTAAAGCGTTCGCGGTCCCCTCTCCTTGTGTCTGAACGGCTTTGCTTCCTCTCCGGTGGGAAAGGCGTTGCGTTACTTCCCCCCACCGTTCAGGGAGTTGTCCGGTCGGGACGAAGACGGGTACGAAACGGTCGCCTAGGAGCGGCTTTCTCAGGGCCGCGTAACTAAAATCATCGGTGTGGGTTTAACCGCCACCCAGACCTCATAGCCATCAACGGCAACAAGTAATCGTGTTATTGTGTTACTTCCGTTACATTGGGAGTCATGCAAGTGGCGGGGGTTTTTGGCTTGGGGGGGGGGGGGGGGGAGGGGGACCCCCCTAATAGTTTGGCACGCCCGAGAGGGGCAAACCCCCCGTGAACCCCCCGAGTTTCCCCGGGGGTGCCGGGACCCCGTTTTAGAGGCGTTCAGTCTTCGTCCTCCCAGACCTATATGTTAACTCAAGAGGTGGTTCTAGAGACAAAGTACACGAGAAATGAAACATTATAATTAAGTTTTTAGGGGCAATTCATTCACTATGTTTGCAAACGAATAGTCCCTATTTTCGGGTCGTCGTGTTCAAAGATATTGCAAGAATTAAAAGATATTGCAAGGATTTAAAGATACTGCACGGGTTAGGATGTATTGTACGGATTAGAAGACATTGCAATGATAAGAACATTTTGCACGAATTAGAAGATATTGAACGGATTTGAAGATATTGCAAGGATTAAAAGATATTGCACGGATTAGAAGGTATTGTACGGATTAAAAGATATTGCACGGATTAGAAGGTATTGTACGGATTAGAAGATATTGTACGGATTAAAAGATGTTGCACGGATTAGAAGGTATTGTACGGATTAGAAGGTATTGTACGGATTAGAAGGTATTGTACGGATTAAAAGATATTGCACGGATTAGAAGGTATTGTACGGATTAGAAGGTATTGTACGGATTAGAAGGTATTGTACGGATTGAAAGATATTGCACGGATTAGAAGGTATTGTACGGATTAAAAGATATTGCACGGATTAGAAGGTATTGTACGGATTAGAAGGTATTGTACGGATTAGAAGGTATTGTACGGATTAGAAGGTATTGTACGGATTAGAAGGTATTGTACGGATTAAAAGATATTGCACGGATTAGAAGGTATTGTACGGATTAGAAGGTATTGCACGAATTAGTAGATATTGCACACAGTTGTGTTGTATATGTGGTTTGTTGACTTGCTGGGCAAACTGTATCATCAAATGTTATTCATATTTTTTTAATATTATTTTTTTTAACAAAATGTTATGGATATGCAAAGGTGCTATTGATAATTAATAAATTAGTAGATCACTCATTCGGCTTTTTTTAAAATGTAAATTCACCATTGCGTACTTAATAGTAACTGTGAGGTTGAAGACTCAGTTTATATGTTTCTGTTTCCCCAGAGACGATAGGAGATCGTTGCTCCAGCAATGTGGATTGTGAGAATGCGGTAGACTACAGCTTGTGTGAGAAGGTAGGTGGCTTATGGGTCACGCGAAGAGTACGGTGGGTTTTGACTGTTGGGGGTCTCGTTGGTGGTTTTCTGTAGCTTGTGTGTTAGCTTGGGTCGATTTTGCCAAAAGTCGAGTGTGTTAACCGTTTATTGTGCCAATGGTATATTGTGCCAAAGGTCTAGTGTGCCAAAGATCTATTGTGCCAAAGGTCTATTGTGCTAAAGTTCTTTTGTGCAAAAAGGCTATTGTGCCAAAGGTCTATTGTGCCAAAGTTCTGTTGTGCAAAAGGTGGATTATGTTAAACGTCAATTTGTTCAATGGTCTATTGTGCAAAAGTTCTATTGTGCCAAATGTGGATTGTTCCAAAGATCGACTGTGCCATGTTGGCTCATTCACAGGTTGGCTCTGTTGCTATAGATCGGTGTGTATTATGTGTTCGAAAGTTAAAATGTTCTATTTTATTCTAATTCCAAAATCTTTTCCTCAAAGTTATAACTTTCGGCCCTTTCTCTACCCACCCAACAGGACGTTTGTGTCTGCAAGACCGGACACTACGGGACGCACGGGAGTTCAGAGTGCAGGCGGCGGCGCATCGGGGACAATACGTGCGCAGTGCACGCGGACTGCAGCGCTTCCGTCAACAACAGCTACTGCCACGGCTCCAAATGCGCCTGCCACCAAGGCTTCTATTCCAGCTTCGACAAGTTCGAGTGCCCCAAGCTCTACATAGGCAGCACCTTCTGCAACCTGAAGACGGACTGCGCGCCCACCGTCCAAAACAGCGTCTGCCTAAACCAAACGTGCGTCTGTCCCTCCGGGTTTTACAATCAGAGCCTCGACGCCTGCGTGAGGCGGAAAGTCGGAGACCTGAACTGTAAAGTTGACCTGGACTGCGGTGACGCGGTGAACAACAGCGTTTGCGTGGTCGGCGGCTGCCAGTGTAAGCCCGGCTTTTACGACGACATGAATTTCACCGCCTGCGTGCGGAGAAGCATCGGCGCTGTCTGCAGGACACGCCAGGACTGCGTGGTCGCCGTGGACAAAAGCTTATGCAGCCCAGAAAGGCGATGTGTCTGTGAACCTGGGCACCAGTCTTCTGCAGACGGGAAGATTTGTTCCAAAAGTAAGTTTGTTTAAATAATGATTATTAAATCATGTGAAATCATCTCCATCCGGGTCACGGTAGTAATTTATATATAACTATAATATATGAATATAAAGATACATAATTATATAAACTGTAGATAATTTTTATGATCCGCATTATTTTCATTCGTTCACCGACTCGACGTATTTGTAACGCTATTATTCGTCCAGGTTTGACCGAACCACGTTGTCTCTGTTTAGCTTCACTGTCCCGGGCGGTATATTGTACTGTGTCCCGGTTTAACTACGCTATTTTGGTCAATATTTATTATTAAATAACACCTAATTTTAAACTACAGTTTTCGAGAAAACTAGTTAGTCCTGTCAAAAAAAAAGTTTTGAAAACAACGACCATTGGATTTGACGTTTAAAAAAAAAAAAATACTTGCATTTGAAATTTGACCTTTGACATTCTGAGAAGTTCTTGTTGGCCTCACGTGTCACTTGTGTTTGTTTATGTCTGACTTTCTGATTAGACAAAAGTGATTTCCAAGCTGCTATACATCATCGGCTATAGAGGCGCAACTAAGTGTGTGCCACGGGGTGACGGCCCCGCTCGTCATTTTATTAGTCCTTTTTTTAAGATTGCATAAATCTTACACACACACACACACACACACACACACACACATATATATATATATATATATATATAAGATTTGTGTGCGTGTGTGTCTGAGGCGCACTTTGGGGTGCTCACCCTGGATGTAATTTGTTCAAGGTACACCGATGGTTATTAGATTATGCGGTTGTGTCCTTGTCCCCCAAATGAGCTGCGGCATAGAGACTTAAAGTGTTATGGATATTATTTTTTTGTGCAAACACCAGGAGAGATAAAATAATAATCCTGCATAGAAGAATCTTCATTTGAAGTCAATTTAAGGAGAATTTTAGACTCTTTAGGTCTGTATCACGATATCCTTCTAACAAAATGGAATAGTGTCACTTGAAAAGTGGCTGTTGCCACTCTAGGTACAGACTGCATCTTGGTATCGTTCTAACAAAAATTGGAATAGTATTACTGGGGGAAAGTCGTTGGTACCACTCTCAGTACAGTCTGTATCACGGTATCATTCAATTAACTCCATTATTTCTTTCTTTTTTTTTTTTTATTTCCAGGGACAATCGGCAGTGCGTGTCAATTGGAACGGGACTGCAATGCCTCCATCCCCAGCAGCAACTGCTCCCTGGGCGTCTGCCAGTGCTTCCCGGGCTACGACTTTGAAACGAACAACACCCAGTGTGTTCAAGGTGAGATTGCACCGCACGCCCCCATCCGCGGTTTGCGGCTATTCCCCCTTCCTCGCCCACCCCCACCCTCCAGCCACCGGAATGCATTTAATTATCGCATTTCTTCTTTACTGATTTACCTTTCCAACAATCCAAAGTCTCTTTCCCCCCCTCCCCCCCCCCCACAAAACTAACGCATAACTCTTGATTTTTTGGTGTCTGGCATTGTAACGTAATTCTTGGGGTCTGAATTTTAATGTATTACCATTTTACGCTTCGAGATTATTTTTGTTAAATTTTAAATTCGACTTTATCCAAAAAGACTTTTTTATTGAGTCTAGAGTTATCTGTTGTTGTTGTTGTTTGGTGTAGCGCCTTCATACCCGTGTAGCATAAAATTTGGGTGTCACTGACAACGGCGGAGTTGGGATTAGCGCCACCCTAGGGGTGTGCTTAAGCGTCCACGAAATAAAATCCTCTCCCGTTGCCCGAAAATGCTGCACCCTTCAAAAATATACAAAATGGCGCCTTCCAGCCCCCCACCCACCCCACCCACCCCCCACCACGTAAACCCTTCTCTAGACCAGATTCCAATATGACGGCCGATGAAACTTAAACTTAAATGTTTTTTTGATTATTGAAAATATTTTCTGCGTTTAAATAGATCTTTTGATACAAAGTCTTTCTTTTTTTTATATTTAAAAAAAAAACAAAAAAACTTTAAATATTATTTTTCATTTACTCCTTTTTAGTATTCAAACGGTATTTTTTAAATGATCGAAAAGAAGTAGAATTATTTTTTTTTATTTTTTTAAAGCTAGGTTAAAGAAACTAGGAACAAAACTTAGACGTAGATCTGAGATCAGTCCCCCTGGTCAATTTCGAGTCTAAGAAGATATTTAAGGGACCAGTGGCGTAGGGATGGGGGGGGCACGGAAGGGGTGGTTAACCCCGGGGGCCCTTTTTTTTTACCTTTTAAACTTCGGCCAACTAAGAGTTGTTTTGTTGTTTGTTTTTTTTTTTTTTACAAAATTGCCTCCACTTCCCACACCAATATTTTAATTTTATTTTTTTTTTTTTTTTTTTTTTTTTTTAAAAAAATGGCTCCCCCTCCCACCCCAATATTTTAATTTTTTTTTTTTTTTGGGGGGGGGGGAACCTCAGTCCCAGTTACCCACCATTTCGGTTCGCCTACACAGTAGCCGCCCGTGTCTAAACAGTTCGGTCGGATGTTAAAAAACGAACCTTTACATATGACCGCGTCTCATTATCGTAATGGATAAACGTTCCAAGGGAAAAAACTCAAATGAAGGGGAGAGAATAAAATCATTGTTATTTTTTTTTTAAATATTTTTTTTTTCCTTCCCACTTTTATTTTTATTTTTAAAAAAAAAGGTATTTGGTGAATACGAAATTTCAAAACGACAAATTAATTATTGACTTATTAAAATAAGAATATTAATAATTTTAAAAATCTATCAATTCCATTAAAGTTCAGATGACACTATAGAGGATGCAGAGACATTGAATCATTCCCTCTCAGCAAAATAAACAAACGGAAAGGAATAATTGAAGCTGGTTAATGTCAATGGTTACCTACTGATGAGCGCATGTCTCCATGTGGGATGTTTTGCTAATTTTTAAGTTTTTTTTGTTAAAGCTCAGACACATGTAAAATTCACGGGGTTTGGGGGGGGGGGCGGGGGTGTGGTTTGGCGCCTTGTGGTACGATGAAGATATTCCAGATTCTGTATGACCCCCCTCCCCCTTCTTTTTAATTAACACAAATAAAAATAATTTTTTTTTTTTTAAAGGATTATAATTGGATTCATTATAAATGATCGTTTAGCGGTTGGCCCACCTGGATGAAATTAAATTATAAAACATGAATTAGTTACAAAACTCCAAATTGCCCAATATTTCTCCTTTTTTTAATTTTTTTTTTACCCCCTAATTTCAGCTTTGCTCATCCGGACTTTATCGGAACTTTAAAAAAAAAAAAATTATTAAAACATGTTATTCATTAAAGACAACATTTATGATCTTTCTTTGGAAATTTCCATTAAGTGTTGAACTATTTCCAACAGACATCTGCACTGTTATTATACGTCGTTGTATCCCT